TCTCTGTGTGTTTGGATCGCTGCGTTTGACTTACATAAAACAGCATGTTGCCAGAAATAAATAACAAGGTGAGCCCCCTTATTATTGGTCGATTGTCTGGTAAAACTTCAGTCAAATGAATTGTTACATGGTTTTATTGACAGTGTCGTTAAGAAACTAATGATTATACAGTTATTTTAGTACAATTCACGTTTTGTGCTTTACATTTTAACCTTTTTTTTCTTAAGAATGTCTTTGGAGTCGAGAATAAGTTGTTTTTACCCAGATAAAAGTTTAATACTCCGACTAATTTAACTTTTTTAAGAATTGTTGTCAAGACACTGAAAGAAATCCCCTGTTTCGTGCTGTCTCTATGGCGTGGGAGTCATTCTAACTTTAAAACTATTCCCATTTCTCCTCCACAAGGTATCCCACTTGAATTCTTATTTTGTACTCCGCCCCCTTTTATCTTGAATCCATGCCAAGTTATGATGAAAAATCTGATCCATTTCTATTTCAGTCGTTGTTTAGCCCACTTATTTCAGCGTTTGTTGTGCTGACAGATTCTGTAAGTCTATATGCCTTCTGGTGTATTTTTCACTCCGTAAATGGAAACTGACTAATTTAACCCTTGCTGCATTTGGATCGAAACAGAATGCTAATGTTTTTATTTTTCCTGATAACTCTGATTTTGATCACAATGGATTGATTATGGTACATCTGTAGGCGTCATATAGGCAGCGAGTGGTCACATATGATGGCTGCAGAGCAAAGCTTTGGCAAAAACTTTACTGGGATGATACGGTACCCATTTATCAACTTGCTGACGTTTACTCGACCTCTGATTTCATCTTTGGTTTGACCGTCTGACCAACTGAACTTTGAACAAAAGCTGCTTTTGTGCAATTAGAAAAAGCCCTCTATCCTGAAAATACACCAGTGAGACCATTTTTGCTGCCATACTGGGGCATTCTTAGCAAACTTTGTGTGTAAAGAAGTGTCCCTCATTAACAGTAAACTTTAGAAATCTTAATTTTCGTAGATATAACATTTAGAAATAGAGAAAAGCACTCATCTGATAACTTGTATTACCCAAATCAGTACTGCGAGGCACTCATTTCTGCCTTTTTAAAGTGTGGACGTAATGTACTCTGAGCTGTTTAGGTGCTGATTTGCATTCACTTCAGCTGAAGTCAGAAGTGATTATTTATCTTTGACACTTGAGGACAGGACATGTCAGTGGCTCTGCACGGGCTGCGTGCTCACCAGAAAGGCTCACAGCAGACTTTCAACCATCCCAGGTGAAGCCAACCTTCCACAGTGGCCTACAGGACTCCTGCTGTCAGAGTTAGAAACGGTCAGATCAGAATAAAGGTCTTGCCAGCGTCCGACTGAACTCTGCTAATCTGGAGGGGACCAATCGTCTTCCTCCCAAAAGACGCTGTTGTGATGCTTCCCTGCTGCTGCTTTTAGTATTTCAATCATGAGGATGTTTCCTAAGTACCACCAGTGATTGATAATATCTGGAGGGGGTTATAATAGTTCTGAGTGTCGATTCCCAGACGGGGAGATACACCTGTACAGCAGAACCTCTACTTCCGATTGCCTAAACATGCGCATTTTCCAACATCCGAAGTTAAATTTGATCAAATTTTCGACTTGACACCCGAAGTAAATTTCCAACATATGTCAAAGTCATGGAAAAATATATTTAGATATAAAAATAAATAAGATAATTTAGTTTAAAGTTCATGTAGTTAACAGTTAAAGTTAGGGTACGTCCTGTATCTCAGTCTCCACCTCTACCTCCGTTCACCAGAGCTTAAGTGCCAATAAAAAAATATTTTTCTTGATCATTTATTTCTTAATGCATTTGTTTTATTGCTATGTGTAATTATCTGCATTATTTATTAAGGAGTTATCGTAGGTTTTGGGGCTGTGGAACGAATTATACCAATTACATTGTAGTCTGGCGGGAATATTTGAACCAACATAAGAATATTTTAACATAGGAAGTAGGTCCTGGAAGGAATTTAATTCCTATGTAGAGGTTCTACTGTATATATTCTACTTTGTAAATTGCTTTTAGTCTGCTAAATGCATCAACATAAACATCTCATCCTGATCAGCCACAGGCTCTGTCCCTGAGAGGTGGGTGAGGTGAGTTTAGCACGAATCCCCACAGGAGAATAAGCTTTTTTTTCTTCTTTTTTTTCGCCCATATGGTGTCGCTGATCACAGCTGTACTCTCAGATTAAAAAGGCACGTGTAAGCTGGCTCGGCGCTGGCAAGCAGAATGGTCCCCCAATGTGTGCATTCCACTTTTCATTAAAGAACATCCTGGAGGCCTGGTTGCTTCCCTCCAGCTCACGTGTACGCCGGCTGCATGGCACAGGGACGTGAGCACGGGCACACAGCTGCACTCTGGAAGGTGCACAGAGAGGATCGTTGTTGCTGGGTTTTTTTGCGGAAGTGATCTATTTTAGGATCAGAGTGCATTATTTTTGCTAGTCTGGTTTCAACGCCTCTCAGAGGCCCAGAGACTACGTGTTGCTGAAGTCACAGGAGAATCCGTCCAGGCAGAACACCAGGACCCGCTTCATTATTATTTCACACCCTCGCTTTAATCAGCGATCTCTAAATCTGACTTAGACATGGTGTTAGAACTGGGCTCTAGGTACTCGTTTTAGCATTGAATGCTATAACATAATCCATGTAAATGTCTTATTGTCTTATTCCTTTTAGAACTATACTTTTGTGTTAAACTCTCAGGCTGTGCCCATAGATTCTCCTTCTCTCTGTTACAGTAGATACACGTCTTTAAGGTCAAAACACGCTTTAATATCACATTCCAGTGAAATATGCGTGAATTAGGAGCTGGCCTGTTCATGTCAGAGCTAACTGGCCAATTACACTCGGTTGTGTCCAGTCCTCCTTTTCTAAGGGGTCCAGCCCAGAAAACAAATGTCCATCACACCTGGGTTTCGGGGCTATTGCCGACGGACATCCACAGGGATCTTTGCCCAGCACTGATTTACTTTACCTGTGACCAATAAATGTCATATTTGTACTCTTGATCTACTCTGGCTTATTCTCAGGTTTCCAACTAAAGAATCGGGCTAACAATGGTATCATAATGCATCATTCTGCACAGGACGCTCTTTCAACAGGAAAAACTCAGTTACCCAGTGAAGGTCTTATTTCCAGCTCTCAGGAGTGGCAGCTTTATGAATCTCTCTCATTCTGCCACAGACATCCCGACCGGAGGCCTTCCCTCACCCTCACAGACTCCCAGCAGAAGGCAGCCGCATCGGAACAAGTCGGCCCTGTTCACAGGTCAGCGCTCCCTGCAATGTTCTATCAACTCCTGAAAACGTTTCCTTCTGTTCAATTCTTTAAACATGTAATTAACTAGCCTAGAATTAATCGTCCCTTTAAAAAATCTGCGACTTGCACAAGCATCACTGACTAATCAGTTATTGACAGAGAATCCCTTTGTCAAGAAAAGCACATTCCTAACACATGTACAGTAGAACCTGTTCATACGAATTTAATTAGTTCACGGACCGACTTTGTATGTTCAAATATTCGTATGTTGGTTCAAATATTCCCATAAGAATACACTGCAATTCCTATAATTTGTTCCAAAGCTCTAAAACCTACCATAACTCCTTAATAAATACTGCAGATAATTACACATAGCAATAAAACAAATGCATTATAGAAGAGATGTGTAAAAAGAAATAAATTAAAGAAAAAAGAAATAATCAATAAAAAGGGATTTTTATTTGCAGGTGGAGGTGGTGACTGAGATACAGGATGTACCCTAACTTACTCCAACTTTCACTACCTGAACTTTAAACTAACTTATCTTATTTCTTTTATTTAGGTTTAATATTTTTTATATATTTTTATATGACTTCGATGTCATATGTTGGAAATTTATTTCGGGTGTCGAGTCGAATATTTGATCAAATTTCACTTCATATGTTGGAAAATTCGTATGTTTAGGCCATCGTAAGTAGACGTTCTGCTGTACTGACATTTATTTGCATTTATATACCTAAAACAGAAATAGTGTGCACACCTGTGCGCGCGTATGGGGTGTAAAACCATCACAGCTCTCCATCTGGTACAAAAGCATCTTATCTGAACAGCACGCCTCCATAATGTACATGTAACCATGTTTACCTCCTCTGCCTGTAGTGGCAGGTGCTGGTAACTATATTTAGCCTTATCTCTATGCGTCATAACCAAGTCGGCAGATCCTGCAGGAGCTTGTAATGGATGAGATGAAATATCAGAGCCACCCTCTGTGTAGAAAGAGCCTCTTTTTAAAGGAATTCCACCCATGATTAAGGAGGGAATTTGTATGGCAACACATTGCATTTTTTAATATTTGTATTAGTATGTATGGGATTTTCGAATAGCTGCTCTAGTCATGGAGATAATGTTTTAAATATACTACTCATTTTCCCTCTATGTGTGTGTATGTATATATATGTGTATATACAGGTACGATATGATACCATTTTCCTCTGAGGACCTGCCAGAGAGTAGCTGTCTTTTCTTGAGTCTGCGACACATGTAATCGTGCTCCGAGAGCGATAACAATGGCAGCCAAAGTAAAGCAGGTTGCCACACTTAACCTCCCCCTCAAAGCCGTCACAGACGGATTCTGTCAGGGCCAGGCCTCCTGGGGCTTTGTCCCCACTCACCCTGATCAGTAATTCCAGTCGCTACCTGCTGGGGGTCCTGGACACCTGAGCCGGCGTGTAGGGAAGCAGCTAGCCGGGGAGCACACGCCGATCCAGAGACGTACCTGTAAACCAACAGAATTACAGGAATAACGGGAAAAAAAGCACGTTTCTACAAATGTTTCTTTTTCACACATTAATTTGAGATTTTCCAGTTTGACATAATGAAAAGAAAGCATGTTCCTACAAATACTGACCCTACAGTAAATATCCTATGTGGCTTTTGTTTGTTTGATTGATTTTTATCTTTTTTGGGTTCTTATTTTCCACAATAATTTGAGTTTTTCCCCGTTTGACAAACCAAACTGAAATGTTTCCAGTTCTATTTCATTCCTGTCACTGTCACCGTTTGATTGAGGTTCTTCTATAACACGTCGTTTAAGAAATCCCTCTCATTTACAGAAGTTTGGCTCTGGTGTTGGGACGCTGCCTCAGCTTGAGCCCCCGGTGGTCCAGGTGGTGGTCAGCAATGCCAAAAACCAGCACCAGCAGTCGGACAACATCCTGCCCCAAATCGCCAACAAAGGGGGACAAAACAACTACCAAACACACTCGGTGAATATGCTGCAAACAGTTTGCTCTCACAGAGATCTTTTATTTAGAAAACAGAGAAGTAACTTTGTCATTAAAAAATGAAAATGCATTCACATCGTTGTTACTTTAAAGGGACATTGTGTAGTATTCTAAGTATTTTATTAGCTAAAATCAAATTTTAATTTATAAATATGTCCTCATTTGGTGTAAAATGACCTCTGCAACTATCTGACTTCTCCTCATAAGGAAGAATTTCCTATCTGTATACACACAGGACGGGTATTTTGAAAAACTGTAATGGTAGAGAGGGACATAAAGCACTAGTCTGCCTGTCTAGCTAATCCACAACACCTTTTCCTTCAGAGTCACCTGACTGAAACCAGCTCTAATAAGTGAAAGGAGTAATTACATGCTCACTTTTTCCAGGATGAGAGGCAGAAGCCCACCCAGCAGTTCGCCATGCGGTTTGGGGCAGCAATGGATAAAGTATCAGGTTCCCGGAACAGCAAGAGCTCAACCAACAAGCAGGAGAAGGAGAGAGCATATGAGGGCCTAAGGCTGCCCATGTCGCCTACAGGTAGACTACTTTAAATCTGACAGCTTGTTTTTTGGGGACTTTAAAGTTGTTTTTCCGAGCTTTAATACTGTTTTGTGGCTTTTAAAGCTGTTGTTTTGACGGTTTAAAGCGGTTTCGAAGGCTTTGAGGGTCCCCTGCGACCCCATTGGGACTCTTATGTTTCTGTTTGTGTTTCTGCATTTAAATGCTTTTATCTAAAGCAACTTATAAAGTATACACAATGTTCCAGCTCTCATCAATCTGACAATCATCTCTCTGGAGTAAAACCCCTAGTCAGAGTCAGTGGTGACAGGAGGAGATAGAGGGAAGCACAGAAAGAGGAGTAGAGGGTACAAAGGTATGGGGAATAGTTAGGATAGGAGACGCTCTTTGAAGAGTATTATATAAAAAAAATATTATTTATGCTCTCCCTATCACCGTGATTTGCTGGTATTGAAATAAAACTTGAGGTCAACAGAATGCAAGGGCTCATCCGGTGCTCCTTCTCTAACTTCCTGTTTCAGAGGCGCTGAACAACTTCCAGGAGCGGCTGACGGAGTTTGAGCGGGAGGAGATCAACGACTATGCAGAGATCTGGTTCCTGGGTCTGGGCTCCCAGAAAATTGAGGGTTCGCAGGGAGCGCAGCAGAACTCTGGATATGACGATGAGCATGGGAGCTACGTCAGGGTAAAGATTTAGATCACTGTTACTCCAGTTTAAACAGAACCAAATCCTGCCCATAGAGTCAATTATCATATTATAAAATGTAATGTTATATGAAATTATAATATGAATTAGGGCGGTGTGGTGGTTAGCACCATCGCCTCACAGCAAGAGGGTTGTTTTTTATTTTACTTTTTTATTCAGTGGAAGCACAGAAAGAGGAGTGGATGGGTGGATGGATGGATTAAAATATGAATTATTCAGTTCTTAAGATCATCGAAGTAAATGACTTTTTCATCATGCATAATTTCCTTAATTAGAAAATAAAACCAAAGCTTCTGTCCCTCCCATACAGCACGTGCAGAAGTGTATAGGAACATAACATGTGCATGATTCTAAGCTGAAGCGTCTAGAACCAGCTGCTTTCCCATGACCTTAATCCAGCTCCTGAATACATTAAACAACTGTGGAGCAGGGCCTACTTTACTATTCAGTCAACGATAAAATGGACTCAGGTCGCAGGCCTAACAACAGCTGATTGACACTTGGTTGTCAGTAAACAATGAATGAGCAGATTAAGGCTGACTGACCTGCTATTGTCCGCAGCCTCACATGTCTGCTGATGCTCAATTGACCGTCTCTGCTTTGACCGTCAGTCACAGCAAACCTCCCGTTGCCTTTCAGGTGCTGCATGACCACATCGCTTACAGGTTTGAAGTCCTCGAAGTGATCGGCAAAGGCTCCTTTGGGCAGGTCTTAAAATGTCTGGACCACAAGAACAACGAACTCGTGGCCATCAAGATGATACGCAATAAGAAAAGGTGTCCATCTCTTTTTTTTTTTTTTAACTAACCTCATTCTAATTATTTTGGATTTTCCAGTTTGTAGGAGAAATAATGAGACTATGTCCTCTGTTTCATCAGTTTTTACAACATGTCAAAGTGGACTAGATTATTTAAAGTAATATGTTTAATGTGTTATGGATAACTTCACTACAGTAGAACCTCTACTTCCGAACGAATTATCCAACATACAAAGTGAGATTTGATCAAGTATTCGTCTCGACACCCGAAGTAATAAAAAAATATAAATAAGATATAAAAATTAAATAAAAATGAATAAGAAAAGTTAGTTTAAAGTTCACATAGTGAAATTAAGAGTAAGTAAGGCTACGTCCTGTATCTCAGTCTCTACCTCTACCTCCGTTCGCCGGTCTCTGAGGTAAAGTACCAATAAAAAAAAATCTTTTTATTGATTATTTCTTTATAATTTATTTATTTTTACATCTCTCTTATATAATGCATTTGTGTTATTGCTATGTGAAATTATCTGCAGTATTTATTAAAGAGTTATCGTAGGTTTTTGGGCTGTGGATCGAATTATACCAATTACAGTGTGTTTTTATGGGAATATTTGAAACAACATATTAATATTTTAGCATACGAAGTAGGTCCCAGAATGAATGTAGAGGTTCTACTGTATGTTTAACGTGCTATGTGTTATGGATAACTTCACTACACGGAATAAGGGAGTTATTTATTAACTGGAAGAGGTCAACTTTTGGCATTTATTTGAGATCTAATGGCCTGTTGTGAGTTTTTTCCCACATGCCTGCACCATGATCATTTTACATTTTAGGAGTCTGCCAATGCGTTCAGACCAGATTTAGCCTGATAGAAGTCGGTGCCTCATGGTGTTATCTTACCTGTCCGTCCTCACATAGGATCACAGTGGCAACAAATGCTTGAGTCCTGTTAGTTGGACCCAGGAGCCTTTGGGATTTACCACTACTTGAATAATGCAGAAAACAAAATGCGTGCTAAGTGCCACAGCTCTTCCTAAGGACTCTGACTCTGGCAGATGACTATGCCAGATGCAGTTCCTCCCAAAGAAGGGATTGTATATGGTTAACATGGAGTATTTCCACAAGATGTTAAGATTAAGTAGGTTCTTTTTGGACTACTGAGTTTTCTGTTTTCTGGCTCAGTCTTTTGGTAGAACTACGAAGCCCGTAACGCTTTCCCTCTTTTTCAGTGTTTATTATGTTGCCTGGATTCTGTCAACAGCTTCTTAATAGACATGAAAACACAGTGCAGCTCATGTATTTAAAGGCTTTTTACATAAATCAGAAGTTGTTAGTCATGTCTGACTCACAATATGCGTCACATATTTCTTAATGCTTATCAATGGACAAAAATGAAAAAGCAAGGTTTACCGACAAAAGCACATAAATTGAATAAGTTCTCCCGATTTTTAAAGTTTGTATTTTACTTTCTGAGCCTAAAATATTGTAAACTCGTCTGCAGGTTTCATCACCAAGCGCTGGTGGAGCTGAAGATCCTGGATGTAATAAAGAGAAAAGACAATGACAATCTTCACAATGTCATCCACATGAAGGAGTACTTTTACTTCAGAAACCACCTCTGCATCTCCTTTGAGCTCTTGGGGTTAGTATACATGCTTACCTTCAGCAAACAAGTCAGCCTCCACAGGACACTAAAAACTGAATAATTGATCCACTAATCAAAAGATATTCAAGGTGGAAACCTCTCACCTCAGATACGACCGCTTTGTTTCTCAAAGCTCTTTGTCTGTTGCACTACATCCACATAACTGTGCTTACTTAAGTGATCACCTTGGTAACTTAAGCTGTCAATGATTTCACATGGATCTCCACCGATATCTTTCAGAGGGGAGATAGTTTTGTGTATCACTGCGGGTGAATGACCTTTAGGGGACGTCTTGGACTGGCACCTTGTCTAACATTACTGTCACGGAATCCCTTATTTAAGGCCTTGATCAGAGCCCTATCTCTTACCCCATCTTGCTTCATGGTGTAAAGGATCAGGTTACACACTCTAAAGAAGTTTATGCTTATCGGCAGCAGCAAGAAATAGCAGCGGCTACGCACGGTGTATCTATCCGCCTGTGAATGTGACCACAATCAGATAATGTCCAAGTATGCGCTTGATAGCCAGGGAATGTTTCACCCGTGGTGTAGAGTGACATCAAATTAAGCCACCGTCTTTTTGCAGGGCATTTATTTGCAGGACCTGATGAGGTTATTAACACTAGGCATGTTTTTAATAACTGGATTTCTGGTGACCCGCTCAGCTCTTTGTCATGTCCTTGGTTTTCAAAGTGCATCCGGGGCCGTTGGTTTTATGAGCGCCGTTCACTAATCACAGCCCATTGTGCCCATTGACAGGGTCAACCTGTATGAGCTCATAAAAAAAAACAACTTCCAGGGCTTCAGCCTGGCCCTTATCCGGCGGTTCGCCCACGCGCTTCTCAGGTGCCTGCAGATGCTGCACAGGGAGAAGATAATCCACTGCGACCTCAAGCCGGTACTGACTTTCATATCAGCCATAATAGCTGCGCAACCATTGACAAAGATCATTGGGGGGTTAGTATAGTAGTGAGTGTCCCCTGTCACACAGGAGACCGGGGGTTCAAATCCCATTACGGGGAGATACACATTTAGATATTCTACTTTGTAAGCTTTGGATAAAATCGTCTGCTAAATGCATAGACAAACAAACATTTTCTGCTTAAGACTGCCTGAGGCCTCTAGGGTTAATCACATGAAGGGTACTCCATCTTATGGAGAGTCACAATACTGCACCATTACAACAGCTCATGAATAATTTATCGCTCGTTGATAGTTTTGTTGTAATACTTCTCAACAGGAAAACATTCTCCTGTCTCAAAGGGGGCCGGGGAACATCAAGGTTGTTGACTTTGGATCAAGTTGCTATGAACAACAAAGGGGTAAGAAGTTCCCCACACGTCACACAAATGAATGTACATATCTGGACGTCACATGTCTGCGACCTGGGGGGGGTTCACATATCAAACGTTCTCCTTCTCCTCTTTTAGTGTACACCTACATCCAGAGTCGTTTCTACCGCTCCCCAGAAGTCATCCTGGGTCATCCTTACAGCATGGCCATTGACATGTGGAGTCTTGGCTGCATCCTGGCTGAGCTTTACACGGGCTACCCTCTTTTCCCAGGAGAGAGTGAAGTGGAGCAGATAGCCTGCATAATGGAGGTAAAGCATTGACATCAACTGCTAGTTCAGACGACCTTTCGTTGCTTGTGGCTGTGAACACAGACACGCTTAACTTATGAACTGCCTCTGTGGCTGATAGTCTTATATTTCATCACACAGGTTCTGGGAATGCCTCCGAATGATTTTGTTCAGTCGGCATCAAGGAGGAAGTTGTTCTTTGGTAAGAACTTCACATAGTCCTCGTTAAGATCAGCTGCTGATGGTCTATTTCTTTTTATATTTTTAAAGTCTTTGTAGTCGGCTGCCATATTCAGCCTGTATACGTATTTACTGTGCAGGATACTGACATACAGCAGAACCTCTACTTACGGAACAAATTAAATTCCTATGTAGAGGTTCTACTGTATATGTTAGTAGAATATAGGGGAAATAATAATTGCAGTTTTCAGACTGTGTTTTAATGTCAGTTTACATAAACTTGTATTTTCTGTGCAGACTCCAAAGGAAATCCAAGGAATATTACAAACAGCAAGGGGAAGAAGCGGAGGCCCAACTCCAAGGAGCTCTCGGCTGCTCTTAAAACCAGCGACCCTTTGTTCTTAGATTTCATCAAAGGCTGCCTCAGGTGTGTTTATTCAAATATTCTGCAAAGCTTTTTTTAAGCTACAAAATGTTTCTTTTCCACTCATATTTCTTTTTTATTTTAAATACCTAAATACATTTCTGTGGTTTTCAGCTGGGACCCAACCAAGCGCTTGACTCCTGATGAAGGGTTACAGCATCAGTGGATCCTGGAGGGAAATTTCAACAAAGTCCGATCCAGAACAAATCCTAGTGTCAAGAAGCCCTCCGACAGTTCGGCCTGCACAGATAGACAAGCTAACAGCAAGTCTTGTAAGAATTGAGCCCATTTAATAGAAGATAATAGAATGGAAAAGAATAAAATACTTTATTGATCCCACAGTGGGGAAATGTACACATTAGAGCAGAAAAAAGGGAAAAAAACTCAAGCACAGTGGAGGCATAAATAAAATATCAAATAAAAAAATAAACACATAAATAAATAAAGGCTATTTACAAAACAACAAAATAAAGGTAAATTACAAGTGAAAGTTATTAAAAAGAATAATATGATTCTTAAAATATTTAAATGAATTAAACACCAAATTACCAATTGACTAATTTGCCAATTGGCTACTGGGGCTGACACCATGGATCAGGTAGTGCAGGTGTTATATATTCTAACAGCAATATATATATATATATATATATATATATCTTGAAGGGGGTGAGAGGTGGTGTCCATGATAGATATTTACAGAACTAAAAACACAGTGAGTACCACGTACATCCTAAGCTGACGTTACCTTTCCTCTGGGTCCACTGTGCAGCCGAGAAGCTGAGCCCGGAGAGGAGCAGCCAGGAAAACCAGAGCAGGGACAGCTCAACATCCGGGGCCAAGATGGCGTCCGTGGAGCGTCTGCGACCCATCGGGGCCTCGGCGGAGGAGGAGCTGTGTGACAGCGAGGGCCAGCTGTCCACAGACAGCCAGCAGCACGAGAGCAGCGGAGAGAGGCCCGTTCACATCATCATCAAGCCTCAAGAGAAGAGGAAAGATAGCCAGGAACCACCTCAGTGTTAGCGCTGCTAGCGTCAGAGGGAATCCTGCTTCACGACCAGTGGCAACTAGCAGGCTGAAGCTGGACGTGTGAGAAAGCTGCATTGAAATACCCGAGTCGGCCATGTTGCCATAGAATATCACAGAACTATATGTCTTATGGGGTGGTCAGCACCATTGCCTCACAGCCAGAAGGTTCTGGGTTCGAGTCCCAGGGGAACCGGGACCTTTCTGTGTGGAGTCTGCATGTTCTCCCAGTCCCCCTGCGACCCCGTTAGGGAATAAGAGGTTACAAAAGTGGATGGATGGAAATATGACTAATGTTCCCACATAACAAGAACAAAACATTGATATATAAGAGACAGCAAAGATGGACTTCTTTTATTTATTGTTTTAGGTATACAGTTCTAGTGTATTTTTTTTGTTCCATGAAAAATGATCTTTTTTTATTTCAAACTGTGAAGTCTGATATCAATTGAATTATTATTTGGTGGAGACAAAGTCTTTGCAGGCATTTAGTCTCAGTGGGTCACGTCTGAGACTTTGAATCACATGGTAGATTACTTACAGTCATGGAAATATAATTAAATTAAATTTCTCTAACATTTTTTAGATTTAAGTGATTTCACAAACATTGCATGGATAGAAAAGTAGTCCTTTTTTTGTTGTGCTCTCATTTATTGTGAACATTTCAGCTTAATATCACTCTCATAATGGTAAATTATTGTGTGCAATAAAGGCTGAGCCATATGTTTTTTTAAATACAATAACAAATAAATAGTCGTTACACACTTTTTATTGTAAAACAAAGTTGATGACATGCATTACTGGTTATTATTTCCTTTATTTATTGTGGAATATCTTTGAGTCTTTGAAGAATTGAACTCAGTAACCATAAGACATGTATTTATATTAGAGTTTATTGTACATATTTATGAGTACATTTCTAATACATGTGTGCCACAGCATATATTTTACAATTTGCTGAGGATTTAGACAAGGTTTTACTTGTTGTGTTGTTACTGTATGGAAATATTTTTTTATGTCTCGTTCCTTGTACTTTTTATAATAGAAAAAAAGACAATCCTACTATTGATAGTCTGTGCCTTGCAGTATTAGAGATCTTGCACTTTATTATCGTGTTTGTACAACTAAATTAGATTCTGGTGTACCCTTATCTGGCCTGATTTGGACTACTTTTGACAACATTATCATATTAAATTACACAAGATGAAAAATAACATTAATTGGCTTTTTATTCATGATTTATCTTTTCTAGAGACCCAGTTTAAATATAAAATAGCACCCTCACTATATGAGAGCTAATTCATGGGAGATCCTAATAAGATTAACGTAGCTGAAATATGAAAACCTAATACAAGTGAATTTGATGTCTAAAATAAATTGCTGTTTTAAAGACAGTGTGTTTTCATAATTTCTATCTTTTATCGTCTTCCTTGACTTCATATATAGAAATATATGTATATAAAAAGCAACCTAAGCATGTATTAAGGCCTCTATTGACCACAAAAAGTGTTGTGCACCTTGCACTAAATCAGCCCATTAACACAAAGTGCTTCTTAGCCTCCTCAGTTCCATTTAGACACATACTAGCACATACTATTAGACGCATACTTGAGAACCACTGACTTTCAGATTATTGTTCCATTGCTTGTGTTAATTAGGCCTGTAGACCTGATGGATGTATTTAATATATTACATTTAGAAATTTGGCACAATGTCAGATTAAACAAAGATAACTAAATGCTGTATTACATCATAATACTAGCACCAAACGCAAGATATGACTATATATCTTATATATATGAATAGTGTATGTGTTTGAACTCACATAAAAGGGCTCGTCCGGGATTTGAACCCGGGACCTCTCGCACCCTAAGCGAGAATCATACCCCTAGACCAACGAGCCACCTGCTGTTGGGACCAACATCTGGATCTCTGGCCCATAAACATCTGGAAAGGAGCCCTGCAGGCTGCTGATGTGGCAGTTCTCCATAAACTGCAGGGCAACAGCCCCCTCTGCTGGTTAATTAGAATATCAGACTATATTCTAATATTGTATTCTAATACCAGACTTTTTTGACAACCTACTTATCTATCTATCTATATAGGGAATAAAGGCTTTTGGAAAGCTTTCAATAGGTAGAAATCATTGCTTTGTTTCTTAT